TTGTGTAGGGAAGGTTCTAGATTATTCTACACTATAGTGGCTCATGAATATCATTAGCTATTTCCTTGACAGTTTTGTGTGTGTGTGTGTGTGTGTGTGTACAGTACACATACACACATACACACACACACACACCAGTGAGTGTACACAAAGCAATACAATACAGTACATGTACATTGTACATGGCATTTGGAGTAATTTAAAAATTCATAAAAAATTCAAATTTGAGTGTGATCAGTTTGAAGTTGTTACGCAACTTAAACATGTATATGTACCAAAAAAAATTACAAACATAGTGAATCCTTTCCTACCCGTTTTTTAAAAAATTTAGAAGGCCTTTGTTCATTGACCCAATTTTAGCAACTTTAAAAATTCATGAAAAATCTAAATTTGATTGGAATCAACTCAAAACTGGTATAAAGCTTAGGAACATTTATGCATGTATTGTATATGTATTATAAAAATGTCCTATTTATTTTTTATTAATTTGGCCTCAAACTATTTTGCTGGTTTTTTATATGCTAATAACTCAAAAAGTAATTGTTGGAATCAGCTCAAATATTAATACATGCATGTATCAGAAGTTTCAATCCTGTACTACGAGTATATTAGTAAATTATTAGCATACATGTACATGTACATACATGTAGGTCACTTATAATTTTTATCATTAATTTGTATATGTAGAGCGTCCGCAAGAGACTGGTTGGAGTAAACTAGAAACAGATCATCTTTTCGAATTATGCAGGTAAAAATGATAAAAATACACTACATATTGGTAATATTAATAGTAGTAATGATAATAATAATAATAATGATGACAATGATTGGGAAAAGGAGAATGTGAAATTGAAGGAGGAAAGAGATTACACATGTACATTGTACATGTATATATACGTGTATATGTAACACTTCATTTCATTTTACACTTCATCTTGATTAAGTTGATTTTAGAATACAATTGGCTAATGTAAGACATGTATATAGCTACACACATGTAGTTTTAGTATAACCTTTGTAACAGAATACCTTTATAATAAGGACACCTTTATAACCTCTGAATAGAGGACACCTCTACATTAAGGACAGGTAGTGTAGACCCAATTGTGTCCTTAATAAAATGGCTACACTGTACATGTACATGTGCATATTTGTACATGTAGTATAATTAAACTGTATTACTTTTAAAATGAGTGTTCTGCTTAATTCTTTCTCTTTTCTTGCAGGGTCTGTGGTTGCCTCCTGGTAAATATGACATTCTAAATTCAACGTTACTAACTCAGTTCATGATTGTCAGATACTAGAGTCTTTCAGTATAATGAACTTCAGCTTGTTATACTAGGAGTGTACAATGTGGATGAGGCCATTAGGGTAAGTGGAGGAGAATGGGTAATATTTCTAACAAGCACATAATTATTGTGTATAGTCAGTTTTAGTTGAGTTTGACTAGTTATTTTCATCATCAAAATGTCACTTGTAGCCCCACTTACACGCAAATAAAATGGCTGAAAACTTCATCATGCTCCTTTCTTCTTGTTGTGACTTGCTTATTTTCCTATTTTGGTTGCTGCTAACCCTGCATTTGACATAAAGGATCTCTGTGCTTGCTATTACCTGAAGAAAGAATCAAGATATTGTATAGCACAAAAATTTTTGAGGGCTGTAAATTTTGTAAATTTGCCTAAATATCTATTTTGCAAATTTAATTTTCATGAATTTATACCGTCCACCATCTTGTGCCCTAGCTAATAATATGATTTGCAATTTTGGTGTATCTTCAAAAAATTGTGAAATCCACAAAATTTACAACCCTCGAAAATTTTGTGCTTACATTATGCAAAGTTTTAACTGATCAAGTTTCTGAGAGACAAAAGTGACGACAAATAAAGAAGGCTTAAAGAGGCACAGCAGACTAAGTGGGAGTTCTTTCTGGAGTTCTAGTTTAATTATATCTTGGCCTGGAGTGTTCCTTTTGCTTTATTTGCTTTTTAAAAATTAATAAGAAAAATATAATTGTAGTAACTGATATTTACAAAGCTTCACGCCATGAAACATCTTGGTGGCTCACTTTCAGAAGAACCTTTTAAGAACATTTCAAAGAACCTGGAGACTTCAAAATTGGTACAGATTTTTGGAAGAACCCGTTTTACAAATATACCAAGTTTTAAGCTGCTAGCATAAATTATGGAGAAGTTATAAGGTTGGGTCAGTGGTCAAACTCAACTGAATGCGACTATATAGTACAAGATAATTTATTGGTGAGGAATTAATATTGGCAATTGGCAGATCTACATGTCTGAAGAAATTGCCAAAATAAAATCTGCCATTTTGTTCCAATCTGAGCATGCTCAATGGCTTATAGCACAAAATCAGCTATATATATAACTTCCACAGGCAAATTTGCCAAATATTACTTAAAACAAATGTGAGCATGTATGTAGCCTCTCAAATTAACAGACAAGTCCAGTTACATTGTACTTGACAGCAACTAGTGTACCAATTGCATTTCTTACTGTATAAAATAACTGTTACATAAATGACACTATATATAACAGAGCAACTCTCTTGCACCATACATGTATATACTCTTCTTTACACTGGGGATGAGAGGTGTGTACAGGTTCATGTACAGTGAGAGTGCATGAGAGTAAACTCATACGTGTACATGATAATGTATATTAAATTGTTCATATTGTACATGTAGTTTATTAGTGACCTACATGTACTTTGTAATAATCAAAATACTAATACTGTAAGGCGCCTTTTTTTCGAGGGCTGTAAATTATGCAAATTTGCCAAAAAATCTATTTTACAGATTTAATTTTTTGCAAATTTACACCATCTGCCATCTTGGACCGTAATAATTTGATTTTCGCGGAAGTAATTTTTTGTGAATCTTACAAAATAGAAATTTACAGTCCTCAAAAAAGGCAACCTACAGTAATACAGATACATGTAAATTTACATGTGTGTGTGTGTGTGTGTGCCTTTGTTTACATTTACCGTATAGCCAACAAATTTCATGAGGAATAAATTTTCATATTTTCGTGATCACTGTTTGAATCACGAAAAATTAAACCCCGAAAATAAATATTAATTGAGAGGCATGGTTAACACGTCTTACTAATGAATGTGCCCTCGTGTCAAGTCGTGTTCTTGGTGAAGCTGATGTCTCTGCTACTCTGTATTGCTATTTTAAGCATATTGCCTAGGTCAAAGATGATGATTTTCCCCATCACTGGTGTCCACACTGATTTGTAGACATGGTGACTCTTAATTGACACAAGAGTCCGTCTCAAACATTGAATCTGCCATGTTTTAATTAAATAAGGCGTGGTCATTATTATTATTAAAATAAAATCACGAAAATATTTATCACAGAATTTAGAATTTCTCCATAAATTTCATTATATTCACAAAATTTTAAGCCTCGAAAATTTTTGGCTATACGGTATAGCGC